ATTTCTAAAATTTATGATAGACTAAATCTTTTTCAAGTCGAACAACTTGGCTGTTCTTTTGGATTTTCGATATTCAGCATTTCAATATCTTTTACCCATTTAATAATATAAAAGGTTATAAGAATTTTATTAATTTATTGCATATTGCATGTGCTAATGCCATTTTCTTTGTTTCAAGGGTTCTTACTGTCATATGCACGATTTATTGGGCTCTTATTTTTACCAAGGACTCTTTCAGTTTGTTGTTAAGCCAAATTCCAAGAAATCCTATTATTTTGTTCTCACTCTCCATGTATATATATGCATTGCATGTCCAACAAAAATTACAAGCCAAGTGTAATGTTATACAAATATAAATATCTAGTGTAACTTCATAGGGCGACTTTCATATGATTGGCTGTTTAATCCATTTAATTTTTATATTATTTATACAGTTTATTTTTTTAAAAAAAACTCAAAACTACAAAAAAACAAAAAAATATATATAAATTTTTATTAGGGTCACTATTGAAGGTAACCAAATCCCTTTTCGTTTTAGGGAAGTTAGCATAATTTCTTTTATTTTTAAGAAGTCGTTACGTATGTCGAGGATGATGTGACATATCGATATATACTCTTTTATAATAAACTCCAATCCTTTAAATTCTAGCCTATCCAAAAATTTTTAAAATTTCATATTAAAGTAAGTCAAAATTTTAGCATCATACCCGACATTAATCTTGCCTTCCTGCATTATAATAACTTATTAGTATGCCATAGGCAGAATTCAACTGTCCGGGTAACTTATTTATGTAAGAACGCGAGTCCATTCATAGGAAGACTTTTATTTGATTGGTGACTAATCAATCAATAAAAGCAAATAAAAAAAATCAATACACCAATACGAATAAATTCTTTAACATTAATATATATTAGCGAAGCTTTTACTCTTAATTATATTTTTTGAATAATAATTGTATTATATTCTCAGTTATTATAACATTTTTGGAAATACATAACAACCCTTAGTCTATGTAATAATGCTGCTTGTAAGTTCACCAACTGATATTTACACCTACTTCCAGCATTGTAACTTCAATGATAATTAATACACAATATTAGTAGAAAGTTCTACTTATAACGTCTTAATCCTCTTTTAAGGTAGAATTTAGAACTTATATATGGTTATTTTACTTATTACTAGCAATAAATATTAAAATATATGCTTCTAAGCGAGCTTTTCACGGTTGCTGTTATTTTTTATGGACATTTCTCGATGCTAGGAATGGGATTTTTATCAGTAAAACGTTATGTTCTCTAAAAGTGTTTTAACCCGAATAAATAAATTACGTACTCAGGCAATTGATATTGCTGTTCAGACCCAATTTAAATATAACCCAAATTACTAATTGCAAACCTGATTATTAGTATTTTAACGCAAAGACATTGTATATTTGAAAATTATCAATTATAGTATATGTTGATATTAATATATATCGATATGTAATTTATAAGCACGCATCCTAAAACTTTGGGATGTGAACAGAATCAGCAGCAATGGCCTAGTGAAATTAAATTAGAGGTTCGATTGCATGCGAAACGACAGATCGAAGTTCTAAGTGTAATCTTAAAATTAGGAAACCTGTTTCTATATAAAAATTATGCGTGAAATTAAATTTTCAAATTGAGTTGGACGACACGTAAGGTTAAAATAGAAAATTTGTGTAAAACTAATTTGATAATTTATGTTAAAGAAAAACTAATTGAGGACATTAAATTTATATTGTAACCTGCTGAACTCAATTCTTCAGAATATAGGGTAAGTTTTAGGTTTAAAAGCTGAAACCAAGCCTGGTTTTCTTTTAACGTCACTCATACCGTGACCGGAATACTTTAGCTTATGTTGAAGGTATTACAGCTTATATCATAATTGGTTTTGAATAGATTCGGCCACATGTATGTACTGTATAAATACTCTAATTGTGTTAATAATTTAATGAATCCCTTGTTATTATATATACTCACTCCAACGCCAAATTTTGCAATATTATAAGCATACTAATATTCTGCTTTGTGTTGTTTCTTTGATTGTTAAAATATTATCTAATTTCAAATATTTAATCGATAACGAAAAGTAGTGAAGTACGCGGTGTAATATTAATGAAATGAGTGTCGCCAAGAGAACATCTGATTGTCAGAAATTTCACTTATCAGAATCTCGTTTCCGTAAATATTTCCAATAATTATAGGTTTTCCCTTGGCAGCACTCAAAAAAACAAAAAGAACATTAACTTTTCATGGTTTTTGATCAATTGGTGCTTTTCTCTCGTATTTGATGTCATGACATGAAAAGTTTGTGTAAAATGCATGAATATTTCAATAGCTGTTGAATTTATAATTTTAATTATTACATATCGCGTAAATGATAATCTTGGTTTGACACATCCAAAGTCAAATTTAAATAAAAAATTTTTTATTCAAATCTATATTTGCCAATACTGATATTCAATCCCTAATTATCGCTACAATAATCCTTTTTGCACACGTTCTTTTTTTAACAACAATTCACGCTGTTTTTCAGGGAATTGTAGTACAAAATATGGTTAAATACAGAGTGCTTATTTTGGATTACTAACTATCGTTCTTTTTCTCAAGAGAACACAATGCAAAACAAAAATTTTGAACAAGTTGAAGGATAAGTTTCATAAAATAATCGAGAATTCACTTACCGCGGAATTTGGAATATGGATGAAACCGGCCTCGTTATATTTTCCAAGGTCCAAAAAGTTATTGCCACAAAAGGCTCCTGTCAAGTTCAGAAAATTTCACACGACAACACACATCTTCAATTACTCATTAAGTCAATTTCAGTCGTTCATACTATCTGTTTTTAAAATCATCTAAAATTTCCAAAATATCACCTTTCATTTCAAATCGGAAAAGAAAAACGCACGATCATATTTCCGTTGTCCCAACAATTTCGGCTGATGGCAACTATATAATTATTTGCGCAACTCCTAACTTATTAGACGGTGCCCCAGCTGGCACCGTTATGGGTTTTACAGACTCAGATTATATGCAAGAAGACCTATTCCAAATGTAAATTGAACATTTTATCAATTCTATTTCTCCTTGTCGTCCGGTTCTCCTAGTAATCGATGGCCACAAAAGCCATATTAATTATGCAAGTGCTAATTTTGCTATGAAAATGGAATTCTTTTATATTCACTCCCACCTCATACCATGTACGTTCTTCAACCATCCGAGCTTCCTTTCGCTAAGCTTATGGAAAAGCTTATATAGTGTTTCGTATTAAAAGAGCTCACTTGACGTATAAACAATTTTGATTAAATCGAATTTAAATAGAAACATATATAAAATTCCTTAAGTTCATTTTGTGGATATTTTTATTATATAATTAGCCTTATACGTAGCAAACTTATCCAAAAATCAAATAAAAAACTTTTTTGAAAATTGTCAAAATGGGCCCTTTTAATACGAGGTATCCCAAATTAAACTTCACAGTGAAAACGAGTCAAGTTATGATTTGGGAGGAATTTAATATGGTTCTACTGAAAGAATTTGCAGAATGAGGAAAGTTAAAGCCAGGTACAAGTTAGGGTTACTTTTTTGATGCAGTTATGGTTAGTAAATTATATAGTTATCAAGAATACAATTTATGTAATATGTGGATATCAACGGACCTCATAGAATGGAACGCAAAAATAGTTTGGGCTTTTGTAGTTCTACGTGATGGTAGGAAGATAATCTCCGAAAATAAGGTTAGGATATACTTTTTTTTTTTGTAATGCATAATAATACATTTATTTAATAGAAAGATTTAATAAATTTTGAATTTTATGCTTGAATTCTCTAAATATATCCCGAATTGTACATAAATATGTAAAAGTACTAATTAAAAAAAAAATCCGGGCTTAAGATTAGATCAGGTGCACACGAAGAAGCTGGTTTGTCAGAGAAACTAGAATGTGCAATGACATTAAAAATGTAATTAATTTATTGAGAGCAAAAAGTGCATAGATTAGTGAATATATTCAAAATAGATGTTAATTTACTTGGTAAATATTTCTTTTATACTCTTATTATTTACTGCAATTTATTGTTATCTATATTCCCTGACAAACCAGCTCTTATTTCTATTTTCGGTTATTTGGCTTTGGTTTTTGGATAGTTTTCTTTTGGGGGTTTATATATATATCGATATATTTGGATTAAAAAATACTTATTTTTTGTATTTAATAGTATATACATTATTATTAGCACTGTTAAGTAGCTGACTTTTAGCAAATCAAATTGTCACTTTTTTGCAGTTATTTCTTTGGCGTTTATTATTTTGCTGGTGTAAATATGATCAGTATGGTTCCAAATTTATCGACTTCTTTAAATGACTTTCATATAAAAATTTGTGTATCAGAAATCTCAAAAAAAAATTTTGTTATAATCCGTTGGAAGAGCAGTATTGGCATTAAATGATTATTCATTAGAGGTTTTTGACCAGTTGATATTTCTGTCATAATAATTTAAATGCTTACGAGGTTCCTGGACGAATTTCAATTTAGGTTGGGGTTGGTTGAAATAGAAATTAAATTGATGCTTGAAAACAAAAGATAAATCTTATTTAAAGATAATTATAAAGAAAAACTCGAGCTTAGACTAGCTTAGAATGGGTTTTGTTAATAATTTCAGCTTCAATGACAATTATTAAAAGAATGAATTTTGAAACATCCAACATAATAAACAGGCAATTCAATAGAACGAATAATAAAGAAATGCTTTAACATGGTTAATACCATGCAAACGAATAGCATTCAACATAATCTAATAGCTTTCTTTATAATATCTTGGTAGTTGCTACAAATTTTCTTCAGTAAATACGCCTCATAGATTATTATATGGGAGCGGGATTTGTCAAGACGAAATTTGATTACATTATTACAACTTTTAATACAAATGAGGGGTATCAAACAGTAGTAGTCACTATTTTATTTAAACCTTGGTATTTATTCCTTAACCACTGTACTACGTTCGCTAACGTAAACACCATCCAAAAACTTTCGAATATCCTTATTTTTTACAGTGGTAGATTGTTGAATATTTGCAGCTATTTAACAAGAATGAATAAATGGATAAATTTGATATAAAATAGATATATACATCAATAAAACAAATAACTGCAGATATATATTATTACCTGATTGAGAAACATTTTCCAAATCATTGCCAGTTAAGATAATTTCATCTTTCATGTTAGGAGAAATTTTAACTTCAACACCTTCTAACATTTTAACTTTTCTAATTACTTTTTCTCCTAAAAAGTTACGGATTTCAACTTCAGATCCATCATCCGATATATGAACATTAATTGGAAAATGTGCATAAACATATCTCATCTTGTATTCGAATCCCTAAATATTATATATATATATATATATATATATATATATTTGAATAATACTAATGATAATTATATACAGTTTTAATTCACTTCACCTTGGTAACTCCGGTAATCATATTTTCGATATGAGACTTGACGGTACGTAAGCAAGCAACATGCTTACGAGAACCATACCATACGATAAGTTTGACTTTATTTCCCTTTTGCTGCATCTCCAAATTGATATGGCGAAGATCTTTGGTCAAGCAACCACGCGGTCCCGCTACTTTGACAAAACGTGATTTGATTGTTACCGTAACCCCTTCAGGTACGACAAGTTCTTCATCCTTGTAGATATCCTTCATTGTCTCGTTAAAAATTCCTATTTTTGTACGTCGCGTCAAATTAGATTATAAAAATAGTTATTTATTCATAATTATTTCATGATTCAGTTTGCATCCTTAAATTTTCTTACGTCCAAAATTTTTTAAATTTGATTCTAAAGAAAACTACTCGATCAATTATTATTTCAATAATATTAAAGAATTTATAAAAATTCACATATCCATCTTTTCTAATGTTGCCAATTTGATAAAACTAAAAATATAAAATTGCTCTAATTGAATAATTGGTCATATATATCAAAAATAATTGAATGTATAAGATAGCAAACATTTATATTTAATTATGAATTTCCCTTATAAAAAAAAAAAGACGATAAATTATATCATAGAATTATTCTTTCCTTTCAAACATCAATCTGGTCTAGTAAGACCTTTGTTTTCAAGGTGAATTTTTTAGAAAAAAACACTAACCAAACGCTAATCCGAACTTTGGTGAACGGATGCCTGTTGGATTGATGAGAAGAAAGAACGTTTTTCTACAGAGATTTGAGTTCTTTATACTTGAAATTATATCACATGTTGTCATACAGTCACACATAATCCAATCCCGAATACCAGATTATCATAAAATTTGACATTATTTTTACTGAGTCACAAAAAAATATGTTGGCTTTTAGAAGAACGTTTGGAAAAGTTTCTCATATACGTCACCAAATTGTTCGATTAGGAAAAAGAAGGGCAAGTGGTCACAGCGATCACGGCCATCACGGACCAGAATGGAACGAACCAAGTGGTCATTTATTTGGTGAAAAGGTAATGCCGTTTTTAATTTACAATAATTAACAGAGATTTTTTAATTTTTTTATCAATTTCTGAACAAATAAACTGGTATTTGTATAGCCGTTACCACCAGGTCAAAAACGCGTTAAGGAAGATTGGGAAAATGTTTGGGTGTATGGCATGGGTGGTTGTTTTTTACTAGTTACCGTTTTCGCTCTTTATAAACCAAATACTAGGTATGTTTAAATCACACTTTCGATGACTACGCTATACATCATTAACCAATTTTTTTGTTCAATATAAATAAATAGCATACAATCTTGGGCATTAATAGAAGCTCAAAAGAAATTAGATGAACGTGGTATATCCTTAGAATATCCCCATACTGAAAGGAAATGGTAAAATTTTTATTGTTTAAAATTCAACTTTTAATTGAGTTGTGGACCCGCAAACGAATAAAACAATTGCGGATCGTAATTATTAGTTATATATAACATAACTTATCACTCGAGTCTGTTGTGACGAAAAAAATAATCGAATAATCGTCATAACAAAGTGCTCGCGCAAGTTGACTACATGTCAACCGATAGGTATATATTTATCTCTAATGCATGACGCCTTAATAAATAAACGGTTGGTACTAGATTAATCGTCACTAGTTACGCTCATCTATAGTCAAGGTTAATACTATGTCATCAAAAAAAAACTCTCACCTAAATGTTGTACATCATTGACAGCGACATAACTACCCCAGCTTAGTCAGAGTATTGATAAAGCATGAAAAAAAGAAATGCGAATAACTCAAAATTTTATTATGATTATTTGATTTAAAGAAAAAGGTTTATCATCAAATTTTACATATGGGCAGCCGTCAATAGAAATAAAGCAGATTGACATTTGAAAAAAAAATTGTCTTAACTTTCATAGCTTATATCTTGATAAATTTTGATACTATTTTGATAATTTAATATTCAAAAGAAAGTTTAGATTGTAAGTTTCTTTTGACTATTAAATAACCATTGAGATATAGTTCTAAGTTGTAGTTAATAAAGGATGATAAAGAAAATGTTAGAAAGATGAATATTGAGGTTCTAGTAAACTTTACAAGAGTAGAAATAATGTAATATAGCAGTTAAACAGGTAATCTTTATGATTACAAGTGTTAAGTAACTATAACATATTGTATAAAACTAGGTTAGTTATATGTGAACCTGATAGATTCTAGTAAGTCTCTTGTTAAGAAAAGGTACTGATAAGTATTGAGAATTTGGATGAATAACATTCTGAAAATGTTTCTATAATATAAAAAAATTGTATATGTAAAAGAATTAAATAGACAAAACCTATAGTTGACTTGTAGATATAACATTTAGTATAGAACTTATATAATATGTATAGACAAATTATTTAAATTAGATACCAAAAGTGCATATGTAATTAGTTGTAACCTTCAATATAAAGAAACCTTTAGAGGTATTTATATTCTACAAAAATTTAAATAAAAATGTTATTCTTTAAAAATAAAAACTTCAACTTAAAAAATAAAAAATTATAGATCTTCTGAAAAACTCAATAGAATAACTAGTATAGATTTTAAATATAATAATAGAAGAGACAAAAGAAAAAGATAAGAAAATATAAATATTTTTGTAAGATATAAAAAAGACATTAAACTTAGTTCTGCTTAAGAGTTTTAAGTTAGTATTGCAATAAGTCAGTATACTTAAAAGAACAATTAAATATATTTTAAACTTTTTCTACAGAAGACAACCAAGAATAATTATAGTTTATAATTTAGTAAAAGAAATAATAGTATAAGATGAAATAGATCAAGATAAAGTAATATTATTATTAATATAGTGTCTTTTTTATGATCTGTTATTAGAAAAAATATAAGAAAATAAAAATTTAAATATATAATAAAGTAGCAAAGTTAGAAAAATATATAATACAATAATATTACAAGATATTACTAAATAGTAATTACATATACAAATAATATATTATAAATTATAAATAGCAAAAAACAACTATTAAAGATTTTAAAAATAACTAAAGAGTTTTTTAAAATATATTATATAGAGATAAATGGGTTCAAATTAAAGCTAATAATAATAAATACAAAAGTTAAAGAAGAAGAAAAAATAGTAATACAGTCAAACCTCTCTATAATCACACCCTTGGTTTAAAGAATTTGGTGCTTATAGAGAGTTTGTGTTTATATAAAGGTTAAATTTTATAAGTTTTATATAAGTTGGTTTTAAAAATTTATATGATTATAAGCAGATGTGACTATAGAAGAGGTGACTATAGAAAGGTCTAACTGTATATAAAAAAAATAAGATAATAAAAAAATCAAAATATAAAATAGTTTGCTATATTAGGAATATGACTAAATAACAAATATAAAAAATACAAGTAAAGAAGAAAGCAAAAGAAATAATAAGCCAAACAATAAGACATTTTAAATAAAAAAAATAACAATAAACCAGATTGCATATATAAACAATATAGTAATAATACTAAAATTAGGCTATATATTACAATTAATAAAAATATTAGACAGAAGTATAAATGAAATATACCAACCAATAATAAGCTTAGCAAAACAGAAGAATAACTTGCAAAAAATATTAAAAAACTGTATAATAAAATATAAAGCTTTTAATAGTTATAAAACACTATTACAAAAATTAATAATAAAGCAAATAGATAGTTTTTTAACAAGATTAAATAAACAAAATAATTTAAATAGCTAATAAAACTAAGAATAACATAAGGCTACCAAAAAGCAGATTTAATAAAATATATGAAAAAACTAAAAAAAATATCTAAAATTAAAACATATTAAAAAAATAACTTAGCTTGTCTAACAATACTTAAAGCAAAAAAACTAAAAATAAATATAAAAACAGAAAGTAAATTATAAACAATATAAAGTTAAGGTTTTGTAGCCTAGTAGTCTAGACACTTTTTTCTTTACAGACAAGATCAATAGTTCAATTCTAGTTGAAGACAAAAATTTTGTAATCTACAGAAGCATATAAATATATATGAAACCTTGTAATTAAATTTATATAAATAGAAGATTATTATATAAGAAAGTTTTTAGAAAGAAGGTTTCTAATATAGTAAGTTGGTGCTTAATGCAAAAGAAGCAATAAATATATCAGAAATAGAAAGAAGGCACACTAGCAAATGATATAATAAATATAAAAGAAAGCTATAAAAAAGGAATAGACTTAATAAAATTTAAACACTTTTAATACTAATACTGGTTTAGTAAATATAGAATATACTAAAATTAGATAAAATCTAAAAGATAATCTTGGTAACATACTTAATAAGTTTGCATCAAGGATAAATTCAAAGAACTATAAATATTTATTTATTTTTTTTTTTTTTGGTATTAAGGTGATCTCTTTGGTCTTTTGACTTTTATTAATAACAAGGAATTTTTTCTTTCGCCCAAATCTTAACGAGAGAACAATTTTATCGTAATAATCGTTTACCGGCAGAAATTAACAATTTAATCGAAGAAAAAGTATGAAATTTGGCATGAAAAGATTTAGAACAACCAACTGATAATTCTTTTGTTTGTGCTTTCGAGGAAATATTATTAATAACAAAAGTCACGCTCAACTAACTACCAAAGAAAAAGAACTTCGTAATGCTAAAAGATGGGCAAAGTTTTTTTTCCAGTAGTGGTAATCATGAGATTCTTGTTGATTGACGACAAAAAAACTCAGAGCGAATAGCAATTAATCACTTATCAGTATTATAGTTCAATGAACTACTACAGGAGAGTGTACAATTGCCTACACATATAACTTTTTTATATTACCTATTTAAAGAGTTTACCCAAAAGTTCCCTACCAATTGCCGTACCTAATACTCCTGCTTGGGTGTTCTACTTTAAACCTTCTGAATCTGTAATCTGTATTAATATCACTGATCATCTCAGATATATCAGATCATCGTTCTCAACCTTAGGACTAATTTATTCTTGAAGTAAACCCCCCAGAGCCTTCTGTACCCATTTTTACAGCTGATCTAGGTATCACTATGACAGAACCAACACTTGTAGTCAGGGCTAACCATTAAACCACTATGCTCTTGTAGAGTTCACTTAAACCTCAGCATTTACTTCACAGCATAACCCCAGTACTTTAGTATACCCCTGCC